TGTGTGTGTGTGTGTGTGTGTGTCTGTGAAGACTAGAAGTTACTGTCAGGGGTCTTCCTTGGTCACTCCTCATCTTATTTTTTGAGGCAGGGTCTCTCACTGAACCCGGAACTTGGTGGTTCAGTTGGGCTGGCTGACTACCAAGCTCCAGAGAGATCTGCTTGTGTCTGTCTCCTCAGAACTGGGATTCCTGACACACTTTGCTGTGCCTGACTTTTTATGTGGTTACTAGGGGAATCGGATTCAGGTTCTCATACTTGCATAGTGAACACTTTACACACCAAGCCATCTTCCCGCCCTCAAATATTTGTTTCTAAGAGAGTAGATGTATGCCCCATCGGGAAGAGCTGGGGGACAGTTGGGCTGGCTTTTGGGCTTCTTTTGGAGTCATGTCATGTCTTCCTGTTATGACCACCCCTCCACTACTGGTGATCTGTGCAACAGGAGATGGAATGTCTCTTTTGATGTCCATTTGTCCTAGTGTCCTCCATGTTGAGTGGCAGAGACATTTTGCTCTTCACTAGAAGTGTCTTTCTTTTAATTTGAACTTTAGAATGTAGCCATGAATTAACCCATCAAAGGAATGCTGTGAAATGGGTCTGTGACCCTGGTGTGAGGTTTTAATAATAATGATTACCAGTTTGTTGATAGAGAGACAGATGGGGATTAAAAGAAGTTGTCCAAGGTCAAGATGCATTCTTCAAGTCAGAATTGGAGAGAACAAAACAGGCACATGATGAAGGCCGAGGAGTCATCCTTTTGCACAGCCAAAGAAATTGCTGACTCAGTGGGATATTGTCTTTGATGCTTCTGCTCCAGGGACTTTCTCTTTAATGGAGGGTAATTAATTATCATCATCCACTCTTACTTAGTAATAATCTTTTACAAGCGCTTGGGCATTCCAGATGCATGCTGTTGTCTAATATCCAAGCTGGCGGGAAATGGTTCTTGGTGGATGAAAGCTGCATCCCTGGAGAGCTTCTGCCTTGGGGCACAACTGCCCCCCGCCCCGACTCTGACTCACTAGCTGTGCAGATCGCTGAGATCTGGATGTTCTCGGCAAGTGTGGGGAATCTGGCACACTCACACGCGGATTGACAGTGAGTGCAGGCAGCCTGGTTCTTTGCCGGAGAATAGAAACACACACGAGAATCCTGACTGTGGCGGAATAATGTGGGGTGTGCCCGCCTCACTCCTGTCTTTTCTGCACATGAACATCCAAAGCCCAATCAGTCACCTGTGTAAGGCATAGCTCTTCAGGGTCAGCTGGGATTTTGCTCTTGACCTCCCTCAGCTGTTCCTGGAAAGGACTGATGCCATCGACCTGAAAGACAGAGAGCACTTTGGGGACAGGTGCAGAGTACAAGCCAATTAAAAATGAGATTATGTACGCTCCTTGAACTGGTGTTGCAGGAACTTGCCCCTCTGCCTATAACTTTGTCCTTGACATTTTTTTTTAATCTGAAAGGACATTCTGTCTCATGAAGGGGGATGAGGAGAAGCAGGAAGGGAAGTGGTAACTGCTGTTTAGAAAACATTGAACTCCTCAGCTCCTCTGCTAGGACAGAGCTCTGCAGCATTCAACACAAGCCCCACTATGGATCTCTGAGGCTGGACAGCTAGCTGTGTGGATAAAGAAGGCAAGGCTCAAAGATGATGAGGAGTCAAGGGCTCTGTCCACTCTGTAAGACCCTTTTTGAGGTAGGAAACTTAGAAGGAGGAGTATTTCCAAAGCTAGAACTGAGGCCAGATTGGCCCTGCCTACACTGTTATTCTGCCTGTCCCACCTTTCTCTTTAGACCTCAAGTAGTTTTCAAATATGAGAAAACAGAAAAAACAAAAAGGTAGGCGTGACCTCCTCCAACTCCCCCTGGCCTTCTCGATGCAACCCCCCCTACTCCTCTTTCCAACATCCTTCCAGGGCTTGTTTAGCTCCATTCTACAACCTTGGAGTTCACTGCTCTCCTCCGGAAAGCAACCTCAGCCAGTTTCTGGATCCTTCAGCGGCCAAGCTCCTGGTGACAGGAAGACCAGAGGAGGAACGTGGGCTGCCAGGCTGTATCTGGTACCTGAGATCCATCTGGGAAGATGAAAGGCATATCCGCCCTGTGAGTCTTTTGGACTGCGGCTAAAGTGGAATTCCAGAGATAAAGTCCTTGCGTTCTTGCCATCCGCTCGTCCTTATCAAGGGAGCCTGCTGATTTCAGTCTTTGGAGGAGAGGGAAGAGCTCTTCAGGACAGCACTGACCTGGGTGCTTCCCTGCAGCCATACTAATGGAGCTTGGCTCTAGAAATACATCCCCTCCTCCACCATCCTGTCTCTCTCCTTAGTCACTCCTCTCTCTCATCATATATCATGGAAGACAATGTTTTGTGTCGGAGAGAGAAAAGGGTGGAGGGAGAGAAAGAAAGCAACAGAGAGACAGGGAGATAGAAACACACAGAAAGACGGAGAGATATATACACACACACACAGAAAGACAAAGGAAGGAGAGAAACACAGAGGTGGGAAAGTGGAACGAGAATTTTCCCTTGGTAGGTATGACAGATACTAATGTCAATGATGAAAGATAAGCAAAGCGTCATTTCATAGCTTCTGGAACAGGTGTCCCAGTACAGGGCACAGCTGGGATTGCAGACCTTCAGACCATCACGTGAAGCAGACTGCATTATGGAACTGACTTCCTCTTCCTTTCTTTATTGCAGCAGCATCATCACCATCATCTGAAGAGGCAGGCTGCCTCAGCTCCTATACCGCCGAGGCAGATTTATACACAACGTAGCCATCTCTTGAGAAGAGGTGTAGTTGATAGGCCATGCCAACCCTCTCAGTTTGAACCATTTATTGTCTCCAAAGTCTGGACTGCCAGCAGTTATCTCACCAAAAGAGCCACTTTCCTAAGCACTCTGTGTCCATGGCCGTGCCCCAAGATCAGCAGAGCTGACGACATGTGTGACTGCCTCATTTTGATGTGTTCCCTCCAGGACTTCCTGAGCCAGGAACTCCGCTATGGGTTTCACAAGCATTGTTCCATCCGCTCAACAAGAATCCCATCTTGCAGATGGTTTGGCATCTCATCTAAGGGCAGAGAACCACTGACGAGCAAAGGCAGGGCAAATCTGAGTGCAAAGCTCAAAGACGTGTTCGTTTCACCTGAGTGTTGGGGAGCCCATCCCCGGAAGGATGTAGTCATTGTACACAATTCTCTTCTAGTCACGTGCATCTCTGACTTGCATTTCTCCAGAGCAAACTTTAAGCAGTGAGAATGCAGAGTGGTCTCCTTGCATCATGACCTTCAGATTCAGAAGGTCAGAGCTTCTAACCGGACAGAGTAAAGGCGTTCTCTGTCTCTGAAGCTGGGATGTGCCTCAGCTGGGATGACTCCAGTGGCGGGGACCAGAGGACCACTCCCAAGGTGACTCTCATTCCACATGTCCGATGTCTCGCTTGGGATGGTGTCACTTGGAGCACCTATTTGTGACAGTTTTGGAACTCTTACATGAACATCCAGTGCTTCAAGAGGGAGTGACCCAGTGAATGACTTGGGCCTACGTGGCTCTTTACAACAAGGTTTTGGGCATCATCTGGCAACATGCTTCTAATTTTACAGACTTGCTCATGTTTACGGTGAAGGGGCATTGCCCTCCCACAACTCAGTAGAAGTTTGTCAAAGAATTTTTACATATTTAAAAACCTCTAGATGTGTTAATAATTCTGGGCCAGTAGATATGTGAGCTGAATGAAATGAGAGCATTATATATGCCAAGGACATTGCTAGTTTGTTTCCCATTTAAAGAGTTCAAAGATTGGGATGACAATGTGTGCCTTCATTTGGTTGGAGTCATTGTTCTCCCTGTCACTAAGGTGACATAGGAGAAAGAGTAGGTAACAGCTCAGGGCAGAAGGGCAATGGGGTGTTGGCTGAAGGGTACTCAAAAAGCCTGCCACATGAGATGCTGTCATTCAGATTTGGGGTCAGTTCACTGAACTCAAGTCTTTCATTTTATAGTTGGTTAGTCTGAAGACACCAAAGGAGAAAAGGTCTAGTCCAAGGCCATGTGGTTTACTCTGGTGGCCTCTAGCCTCTTGTGTCTATATGAGTTGAAAGAAACTAAGATGAAGAGCTTAGCTCTCAGTCATGGTAGCTGGATTTTGGGGCTCAAGTGCCTCTTGTGGCTGGTGGGTACACCACCAGCTAAAGCAGGGCACAAACACCCACGATTGCAGATCCGGCTCATGCTGCAGTACTGATTTATAGGTTCCCAGCTGCTAGATCTGGAGGGAACTCTAGTCAGGAGGGCCTTGCCTTCTGCTGTCCAAGCCTGAGAACTTCCCCCAGAGAGGCTGTAGGTAGCTGGGGACTGGCTTTAGTAGAGGCTCAGAGCCTCTCTAAATCCCTGAGCCTGTCTTCTCTTTCTGCCTGTCCACTTGCTCTGGCTGACTGATGAGGTAGGTGACTGTGTTTGTGGCAAGAGGCTAAGGGCTCTGGGGGTTGGAGGCAATATGGCTGACCCAGAGGGGAGGAACCGCTGCTGAGGGATTCAAAGGACCTAGGAGAGAAATCTCTCTGGCGTCAGCACTGTAGGGGCAGTGTGATAAGACCGTTGCCCTCTTCTCACGTGGCCACACATCTGTGCAGTCACAACTTCTGGCTACGGTCCTGGCTCCCAGATGAGCCCTGCCCTGCGTTATATTGCATCTCATCTTGGATCAGGGACCAAAGCCAGTGCCGGTTGCTTCACAAGTTTCTTGGAGTCACCTGACTCTCGTGCTGCCCCTTCTTTTGGGCAAGCGCTACTTTCCTCTCATCTGCAGTAGCAGAGGAGGGGACACAGAATTATCACCCCCCTCCCCATTCCACTGCCAGGCACCACCAAGGCCTCCCCGATTCTGTGCCTACTCCAAAGCAGGGCACCAGAGGCTTGAGCCTTGGCTACTGACCCCAGCTTCTCTTCCAACCCCACATCTGATCTGGCCAAGTCAGTGTCATTGTAACCTTCAGTTTCTCCTTGGCAAAATGAAGAGGAAGCCACTAAGCGAGGTTTCTCACAGACTACGGTGGTCTGCAGCTTCCCAAGAGCACACTGAAGGGCAGGTGTGACCCCCTAGACTGGGAGGGAGCTGAGACTCTGCCAGGATCCCAGGGTTGCTTCTGCTGCCTGTCCACAGAGGCAAGGATCTGGCACTGTTTGTGTGTGTGTGTGTGTGTGTGTGTGTGTGTGTGTGTGGAGTTGCAGTTTCTGTAGAGTGTTCTTCAGTATGGAAGGCACCGGCTGTAGCTGGCTACTAGGCTGGTGAGTCCGAGAAACTGACTTTTCAGCCTTACCTAGTTTTGAGTAGTAAGGTGGCCAGTGTCTACCATGTTAGATGACACAGCATGGGTACTCTCTAAGACTTCTTTGTGAAGGTCATTTAAAAAAAAAGAAAAGAAAAGAAAATAAAGGTAATGTTTCCTGTTTAACGTGCCTGTTTAATGGGAATGCCAGTAGGCTGGTAAGAATAGTTTGTACTCTGGGCAGATGTGTGCTATGAAGTTATGATTTTATTATTACTGTTACTCCCATCATATTTTACAGTTGAGTAGGGGGAAGGAAAAGGCACAGAAGTTACACAAATTGTGTTAAAACCCCGTATCTAGCTAGCTCTTGTTTTGGGCTTCGAAGTGAGTTTTGTTCTCGTAATCTCTAGAAAACATCTTTCCTGGACTGAGAATATTAACTGCATTACAAGTTAAGCAGCCTCAGGTACAGTGCACAGGACATAGGAGGACCTCAACTGATGCTAGCATGCACAGCCAAACGCCATCCCACACACCAGGAGGCGGGGCTCAAACCCTGGCCCTTAGTAGCTATGTGTTCTGCGGTGTCTCTTTAATCTCCTTTCCTCAGTTTTATTGTCTGCTAGAGGAAGAGCAAAATGCTTCTTCTAGTCATTGCTTCTGCCATTCGACAAGCAGCGAGTGAGTTCTGGGTATTGTGTTGGGAACTTGATAAATAACAAGTAGAATTAGAAACACCCTGGTCATCCCCTCCACACAATACTGTACCAAGTCAAATTCCTGGAGTACTGAGGGTGGGTGACAATGAGGGCTTGTAACTGGGAGGCCAGGTGAGGCCACTATGAAGACGGAACACTATGAAGACACATTCTCTAATTGGCTGTTGGAAAGGAGACAGGAGAGTCTGGACTGGAAATGTGAAGGTGTGAGCTGTCTGCTCACAGCCTGACTGAGCAGCAGCAGGAGGTCATGTGCAAATGGTCAAGGGCAGCACATTTGGGAGGCGCTCAGGGCCAACTCCCGCACTGGAGCCCCCGTTCCTCGCTGTAGCTCAGGTCTCCCTAAATTGGGAACATTTCCCTTGTCTGGTGGAACTGACGTCATCGAATCAGGTCATGCTCAGTTTATCAGTTGGTAAATATTATATTTAGCCCCCAATAGAACATCCGCACAGACCATGGCATTGGGGAATGAGTTCTCTTTAGACAAGGTATATATTTATGGTGAATATATATTAAGGTATATATTTATGTGTGTGAGTGTGGGCACATGCATGTCGCAGTGTGCACGGGAAGAACACACACAGATCAACTTTCAGAAGTTGCTTCTCCTCTCCTACTGTGGGTTCTTGGGATCAAACTCGGGTCGTCAGACTTGGAGGATCAATTCCTTTACCCATGGAGCCACCTCTCTGGCCTCAGGAATGAGCTTCCCCCTTTATAGTCTATATTGATCATTTCTCACCATGCTTCCCCTCTGCCAACGAGATAACTTATGGCGGTGATGTTCAATAATGGCTGTCAATTCAAATATTCCTTCACCAGGGAAAGGTTTAGTGCGCTTGTGTTGTGTCCCTGTCATAGAGAAACCACTCTGGATTCATCACACAGCTGCCTGCTGGCGCTTATGTGTGGAGATAAAGCTAGGGGACTTGACAACCTTCAGGAGGGAAGGGACAGTTTGCTCAGTCTGAAAGAACCCCGTCCTGCCTGTAATCTCTTCTCAGAGTCAAATGCTCCTGGACTAGCTTAGCTGTCAGGTAGACAGTTTGCAAAGTAACCAGTTTACACTGGCTAATGTGTACCATGTACCAGACACTTTGTAATATTTGCTGTGAGTGTTTGGCATCTTCACTGGGAACCTTGTAACAGTGTAATGGGGAGATCTCACTTTGGTTACTTCCATGTAGAGGACATAATGAAACACGTGCTTATCATTAGCATCCGAGTTTCAGGGTTTTGATAACAGCCTTGCAGCTTTTGCTCCTAAGTATCTGGAACTCTTTCGCCTGATGGGTGTTTTTGATTTCCTTTGCATACCCTGGGATATAAATGCTAATTTAATCTAATCCCAAACCAGTTCACTTTGTCTTCGAATTTAAATGTAAATGTCTGATTCTCATAATAGTGAAGATTTACTTTAAATTTCATTTTAAGTTCTAGTATGTTTCCAGTGCCTTTGAATATAAATGTAAGATTTAATTTAAATGTCATCTTGCCAGGAATGCATGGTGGAGGCAGGGATGCTGTTTGGAGAGCTGACAAGTGCTATTAAAAAGAGCTTAATGTTTCTGAAAATGAAAAATGGCAATTTAAAAACAATAAAAACCAGAAATAGCTAAAATAATAATTTCCATTACCAGCAACATGCCAATTTGAAAAAAAGCAATTGGGATTTATTGACTTGATAGATATTATCAGAAAGGCCTTTTCTTTGCAATGAAGGCAAATTATCCCTTTTTAGTAAGTGAGCTAAGTCACTAGCAACTTTTTCTTTAATTTTTTTCTATTTAAAAAAATTTAAGGCTGGGTATGGTGGTACACACCTTTAATCAGTTCCAGCACTCAGAGACAGAGGCAGGCCAATTTCTGAGTTTGAAGTTGGCCTGGTCTAGAGAATTCCAGGAGCGAGGGCTACACAGAGAAACTATGATTTGGAAAAAAAACCCACAAAAATTAAGACAAAATTAAAAAATAAATTAAAAAACAGTTTTTTTTTTTCATTTTATCTTTTGGATTATAATGTAATTGAATCATTTCCCCCTTTCTTCAAAACCCTCCCATCTTCTCATTTTTTTACTTTTTCTTCTTCAAATTCATGTCCTCTTTTTCCTCAGTTGTTGCAACACACACACACACACACACACACACATGCGCGCGCATGTGCGTACACACTCTTACATACATAAAAACAAGCCAGTCTGTAATGTTACTGGCATGTATGGTTTCAGGGCTGACCACTGGGTACTGGCTAGCCAGTTGGTGTGCTCTTCCCTGGGGAAGACTCTCTCCATTCCTGTCATTCCTCGGCCGCCTGTGGATATTTGTCCAGAGCTGAGGCCTTGTGTGCATTCTCCTGTCCACATTAGCATGTCTACTGGTGTTGTTCTTGTCCTTGTCAAGTTTCGACAGCCATTTTGGTGAGGCTTCATGGGTGCAGCTTCTGACAGTTCTAAGAGCCATGTTCAAAGCAAACTCCCTATTTCTTTGGTTCTTCAAATCTTTCCATCCCTCTCCCCCCCACCCCCCAGGACTCCTGAGCACTAGGTGCAGGAGTTGTAGCACTTGCTACTGGGACCCACTGCTCTGAATTTTGATTGGTTGTGGTTTGCTGTAATTTTTGCCTTTTTGTCTATTTCAAAGAGATGTTTTCTTCATAGGAGGACACTTATCTGTGGGTGTAAGGACAAATACTTAGAATGTAGTTAGGGATTAATGTCAATAAGCTTGGTGAATTTTTAGCATTCTTTCCCAATAGCCAGTCTAACCTGGTTTATTTCTCTAACCATGTTTTAAAAAGCAAGTATTTTTGTCTCTTGTTTCTAATGGCCTCTTTCTCAGTGTAGAAAGGCCCTTTTGGGCATGCTCAGACTCCGTTCTCATTTTGATTGTGCTTTCTCTGCTGTGAAGTTGATATATATTTC